ATTAATTCGGTTTTCCTCATCCTATCGACCATGAGGCCAGCTGCTACGTTGGAGACTTACCCGTTGCGAATGAATCTTTCGCTAGAACATCGAAATATACACTATCACACCCGCGTGCGTATGTGTGTGTGTGTGTGTGTGTGTGTGTGTGTGTTCGCTCATAATTCATAACGTGGCATCGGCTGCATGATCATGCCTTTAACAATCACAACGCGCGGAACAAATCAACCGCGCACCAAACAAATCACCACATTTTCATGTTCTTGCGCTAGCTTCAACAGACTCTCTCTCTCTCTCTCTCTCTTACACACACATACACACTACCAATGTAATCGTTTGATTTTGCTCATCCTATCAGAGGGGTTTTTTTTCATCGAATGAATCTTTCGCTATGACATTGAAATATACGTTGTTGCATACGGGCGCACGTTTGTATGTGTGTGTGTCGCCGCCATGGTGGCATTCTCTCACACACACACATGCACATGGTCTATCTCTCTCTCTCTCTTTCACACACATACACACTACCAATGTACTCGTTTGATTTTGCTCATCCTATCAGTTTTTTTTTTTTTTTTTAATCGAATGAATTTTCCGCTATAACATTGAAATATACGTTGATGTGTGTGTGTGTGTGTGTCGCCGCCATGGTGGCATTCTCACTGCATTCATTCCTTTTTGTTCCCCTGCATGCAATTCTGCAAAACTCTCTCCCTCTCTCTCTCTCTCACCCCCTCTTTCTATTCATCCCTCTCCTTGGCCGCAGCGTCGCTGCGACGGGTCCACTTGTTCTATTAAAAAAAATTATACCTTAGTTTTAAGTTGGTTGTGATCACCCTTGTTTGTCGATCATTACGATACTCATCATTTGCCATGATCGGGGTTTCACCGCACTTACATGGATGAGGTCATCATCGCTAAGTTTGTTAAGCATCCCCACTGACGCGGAGCTGCTTGGGTCTTCATTGCGTCGCTGCTCCAATATTGTCTGTTCTCCTTTTGCTGGGAAGTTCAAGGAATAGGCTGCATAAGCGGCCACCTTTTGTTTGTTGGGAGACAGATAGAGAGAAAGCAAGACAGAGAGAGTGTTCGCTGTGGGGGCAAGCAACTTACTTGAATGCAGTGCACCCTCGCCTTGACGGTATCAGAGCGAAAGATAGCTTTTATATACTCGCCAACCTTCTGCTTACTATTGTTATTGTTGTTCTACTATTGTTATTCTTGTTATTATTATATTGTTAATAATTTATTATTATTTTTATTGTGGTTGTTGTTGTTCTTCTTCTTCTTCTTATTATTGTTATTATTGTTATTATTGTTAATATTGTTATTATTATTGCAATTACCTGACCACGATTATGGCCAGATAGATGTCGGGCAATACTGGTGTTATGTGCGGTGCAAACACTAAATAGGTTATTGAGCAAGCAGGCCAGGAGGGGAAAACTTACAGAAAAAAAAAGGAATGGCGGAAAAATGGAGAAACAGAAGTAGACGTTGGACGAAAGAGAGGAGGAGAAACCGGGAATTACCTTGCGGAAAGGAAGCACTAAAAGAGAGGTGAGGAATGCATCAAAGATGGAGTTGTGGTGTCAAGCAGCGCGATCATCTGGATGCAGGCGCTAATGCTACAATGAATTACTTCAATCACGAAGGTGGCCAGATTAATTTCTTTTTATTATCTTATCCAAATTCATTCACTTACGAGGCTACTAGTTGGGCCGTCTGGGTCACCTTGTTTGCGTGGGCAAACCCGCCCGTACAAGGGTCAACCTAGCTCCAAACGAAAACAAAACAAGAACAAAAACGAAAAAATATGGGGAAAAAAAATATGTTATGCATAAATATAAACTGAACCACCAGTTCACAGACCCCTACTATCCACAAAAACGCAGTACACTCCGACGATGGCAAGATGAGGAGTGATCCGGCATGACGCAGCTTAGAAGGGAAAAGGCTGGTGGACCCAAAAAAAAACGATTGCAACGAAATCGGGGAAAAAAAAAGAAAACAAATGAGAAACTGGGCTTGACTGTACTATTTACTCAGATGTCCAGCCTTGCTGGTAGGGCACTAACCTTGAAAAGAAATAGAACAAAAAAAACAAAAGAAAAAAAAAACGGATTTGGATGTAGTATCCATCCAATACGTTATAGAAAGTAGTAGTTCGAGTATGCCCTGAGTGAGGGCATTCCCAATAATGTAAATAAGGGAGGGGGGGGGGGGGGGGCAATGGAAGACATGGCCATGATAGTGGTCAGATACAGTCTGGAAAGTACTTGTGTGAGTATGCCTCCAATGAGAACCTTTCGTGAGAAGGTGCAATACGCCCTGCCTCGTTGGGAGGCCACTACTAGAAAGAAAGACAATTATTTGGCTGTGATAATGCTCGGAGACATTATGGACAATATTCTTGTGAGCATGCCCTAGGTCAGATGGCCTCCCCCACATCTCTTTTTTGTTTCTTTCATGAAACCGCAACGACCTTTGTTCATCATTGATCTAGATTTAGTTTTCTTTTTTTTCTTTTTTTTTCGGCAAATCATGGTAAGCTGGC